AGCTTTTACTTTTCTCTTGCGCTTGAAAGCCTGTGACCAATAATACCCTTAATGTCCCAGCATGTAAGGCAGAAGGACTCATCAGACACTTTTGCCCTTGCTTTTTAACCCTACATACAGAGAAGAACCCAACAATCACATGACCCCCTATGAGCATGCACTTTGGCAACAGTGGGAAGGAAAAACTCCCTTTTAACAGGAAGAAACCTCCAGCCATCTCTTGAGTAATTAAAGAGTCTAACTTCCAAATAACTACATTTTATTCACAAATTTTTGCTTAATTTTGCTGCTGTAGCCACAGAGCATCTGATTTCTGAGAAATTCTGTGATTTAAAAAGTCTTTTTTCTAAACACTACCCTTTTTTTCTACATTTCAGCTATACTTTACTAAATCAAAGCTAAATACTTGTTTTGACACAACGGAGCAGAAACACTGTGGACTGCAGAGACATCAGAACGGAAACTAAAAAATCTAAAAACAAAAGTCTGAATATGATCTGGTCTGTATATGATTGGGTAAAGATTTTGGCTTTTATAGGCTGGTTTTCAGAACCTTTTATTCACAAATTCATCCATATAAGAGTTTACATGATGAATGGAAAAATTGAGGATAAAAATAAGTTCTTGTGCTGATTATAAATGTCTGAAAAATGCAGTTCTCAGTCACGTATTGCAGCCAGTAAACTCCAAGTGAATGAATGAATATCATTTATAGACGGCAGGTTGAATTCTAATTCATGAAGCTATGCAATTTGCTGTTGAATCCTTCCACGCCACCTTATAGTTGCTGAGACTAATCCCAAGATGTAAAAATCACTGTTCCTTTAAGAATTGCAGAACATAAATGTAGGAAAAAATGCCTTTTGGTAGTCCAGCATATAGCTATAGGAAATTATATATTATATTGACAGACATCCAAGCATTTGGGTTACACACACACACACACACACACACGCTCAAGCAAACCTGTCAGCTGTGTCCTGTTATGCACTCTGTTTCAGTTTTGCCACACACACACACGCACACACGAAGAAGAAGAGCTGAGACAACAGCTCGTCCCCTCAGTGTGCTATCCAGTCAATGCCTTCCAAAAATATCCGATCCCCTAAAGGCATAGTTCAGTCAAAAGAAGTTTGCTGATGGTTTCCAAAGGAATCTGATTTCATGCAGTGGCTAGCATTAAAAGCTGTCAATATGCATCTGGTTTAATAAGCACAAAGATCATAGATAATAATGCCGAGACATGATGTGGAGATGGGAGTGTCACCGTGGTGCTGCACGTTCATCAGCTGCAGCTTTGAAAATGCGTGTTTGCTCGGCGTGCGTGTTGGTGTGTGTGAGCAATATTTCAGCTTGTTCTTCGAGCAACCTGTCATTAATCTCACAGTATGTTGTAATAGCCCTCGAACCTGAACGCCTCAAATGATGATTATACCATATACATATATACACTGTTATGGTCTAAAATTGGTGGTTTTTATTTATACTTTTGATGTGTCGTGCCACTAGAATTTTTAATCCAACATAATGGGAAAGGATCATATGAAAAGATATGAAAATAACACTGACACTTCAAAAAGAACCCACAGAGAATCCGTATGATGGTAATCCTACCTTCTGTCGAATCTCTTCTTCCATCTTGATGGGGGAGCCAAACTCAGCCACCTGACGGACTCCCTCACTGGCATAGCCTCCGTACTCCCACAGCACGTAACTTCTGGAGTGGGATGCACCAATCAGAGCTGACCAGTGGTTGGCGCGTCCTACAA